CAAATTTTACATGTTCTACAGAGAGTCCTTCTCGTCATCTGGAGTTGGAGTCCCTGATACAGCAGTTTGATTATGGTGGATGTATTCCTTCTTCAACCTATTCCTCAGCACTCACCCGGATGGCTTTCCCTCTAAGAGTGGCAGCAGCCCCGCCTCCTCGGTGAGATCCATTACTTTTCTGTGTGTCTGAGAAGACTTGTGGATGAACTATTCTAATCAAATTCCTGACCAATGATCAAGCTACAAATGCTTAAACTGAATTCGTTGTCATGTATTATATCTGGATAAGATTATGTTCGTAAATGATCATGATACTAGTGAGGATCGAAAAGGATCCTGTCTAGAAAAAGAAAATGATTTATCAGGTGTGAAAAGCATGAACAGTTTATTATAAAATTTTGTGATGGAGGACAAGTTCGTGAGATTTTTTTGACCTTGGTGTTTGTCCTTATGTTTGACCTTATATCTGTCCACTATATTTTGATTTTATCTACGTTCACCTAGTGATCTTCTAATTACTAATTTGAGGTTTCTAGAAGCTTTATTTATCAAGAGTCCAAAATAGAAGCATTCTATTAATTGAGAAGTAATATTTTCTTATTTTAGTTTTAAGAGATTGAAATGTAAAGTTACAAATCAGTTATTTGTAAGTGAGGTTAACATGACTCAGAATAAAAAACTTGATCACTTCCTACACAGTGATAAAATTATGTTCTCTGGTTTCAAAGTTGAAGAGAGACCCTTGACTGTGAGGCTCTGTTTGGGCAAGAGGCATGATGGTGGCAGTGGAGACAGGAGCACATTCTACATGTGGCATTGCTCTCTGGCACTTTCTCATTTCTAAAATAACTTGGAAATATATATTTTATAATTATATTTTGATGGAAAACTTTGTGTGTGATCCAAAGTCCTCAGCACGTTCATTTTCATTATTTTTCTTAAGATGTGAAAATTTAATTGAAGCAATCAATTGAGTTTCTATGAAGATGTGCCAATTAGCTTTTTTATGTTGCTCAGGAAAATTCCTTGACGTAGCAATATTGTAACTTCCTGGCAATCTCTTGGAAGTTTTGAACCTACGGCATTTGAAATATTTACACTTTTAGTAGAAAAAGAGTTGCCTTTTATTATTCCTTTCCTTCCATTATATAGTGGAAGAATTAAGTAATTTCTTTAATCATCCATGGAAAGTATCTAAACCCTTTATAAAATACTAGATTAAGAAGTTTATACTTCTCCATTGCTAGTCTTTTTACTTGGTAGAGAAGAATAACAACAAAGAAGAATAATTTATAAAATGGTTTTTGGGTCAAAATTTTATAAATTCTTCACCCAAAAACCATTTTATAAATTATTCTTCTTTGTTGTTATTCTTCTCTACCAAGTAAAAAGATCAGCAATGGAGAAGCATAAATTTCTTAATCTACTATACTGGAAAATTCCAGAATGTTTGAAAATAGTTACTGAATAACCCTACTGTGCCCCAGCAGGAGACCTGATGGTACAGTGAGTGATAACATTACGTTGCTAACCAAAAAGTTGAAGTTTGAAACCCACAGCCTCTCAGCTAGAGGGTGATAAAGCTCTCTGCTTCTGTAAAGATTTACAGCCTGAGAAACCCGCGGGAGTAGTTCTACTCTGCTCAACAGGACTGCTGCAAGGACGTCCCATGAATTGGATGGTCATAAATATCTGAAAAAGTTTACTGAAGTTATCTAAAAAAAATGGTAACTGAAGTAAGCCTTATATTTCTAAGTTCTTTTGTTTTAAAATCTCTTTATTTTCTCATCTTAAATTCTGCTTTCCTTCCAATTATAAGCATCAGGAATAGATATTTTTAAAACCCTTAAGAAAGTTTAATATTCCATTAATTCTGGAAAATACAACAATGTTCTCTTTTACTCTGCTGAGTTACTTATGCTCAGAGTTAAAGGGATATAAGAAAATTGTTCAAAAGTCATTAATCAATAACTTCATTAACAGGTAAATTTAAGTAGACTAAGAAAATAATTCCTTGTAAAATTTGATTTAAAATTTTATTTTCTTAGTCCCTAAAATCTTAAAAATCTAATGATAGTTGGTTTTGATTAAACAAATTCGAAGACAAAATATGGAGACATATTAATTCAAGAAAATATTTTGTAGTTAGTCCTTAGTTTTTCTCACTGTTCTCTCCTGTTTTCACTAGGTTGAGTTGGATACATTTTCTATATTTGCAACAAAAATATTCAGCATCTCCTAGGTTTAATGCGTCCTAGAGCTTTTCATTATCCTACTCTCCATAAAACAGCCAGGAAAACATTAGATAATCAAGTATCCCTAAGATCTCTTCATCACATGTGATGCTTCTCACTTTTGCCCACCTCTGTTGGTCCTCTTTACATTTTCTCTTAATTCTAGGATAATTTAATTGAAAATCATATTTGAGACTTTTTTAAGAAAAAAAGTCTGAGAAATTTCCTTTCGAAGAGTTCAAATCATTTTCCATCTCCTATGTACAGTCCAAAATTCCGTGAGCTATGTACAGGAGTCCAGTCGGAATTATCTTAGCTATTTTGCTCAGATTTCTTTGTAACAATTCTGATCCTAATTTTTTCCTGACTCAACAATTGTGAGGATGGCGCAGGACCAAGCAGTGTTTCCTTCTGGCTTACGTAAGGTAGCGATGACTTCGAACTGTCTCGCTGGCACCTGATAGCAACAACAACTTAACTGAAGCTCAGTGCACTGCAATCTAGTCTACTTGAACTCATGGCGATCTTATAGGATAAGGTAGAACTGTACCTGTGGGTTTCTGAGAAGATTAATCCTTGACAGGAGTATCCACCAGTCCAGCTGGTGATTTTGAACTACTGACCTTTTAGTTAGAAGCCTAATGCTTAGCCACCTAATTGAAAGAGGGATCTAAATACAACATGGGTGCTCTAAGACATGTCACTTAATATGATGTCATTTAATAACATGTCACTTAATTAAAATTAATATGATATATTAATTTTATTTTAGTATACACCTTTGTCTGTAAAATGATCCTTGGTGGCTTAAGAGTAGCTCCTTTGTAGTTCTGCACTTAAAAGTTCAGTGGGTGGTAGATGTTGGCATGATCAATAACTAATCATGGCATAAAAGTTAACTAATAGTATTAGCTAGCTGCTTTGAACTAGTTTCTGGTTTTACATAGTGTATCAACAATTCACTTAAGACAATTTAAAGGTAATATAATTTTGGATTCAAGGTCTTTCAAACGTAGGTTACAGGATTTTTAAAATATGTTTATTGATCCTCATAGTCAGCTAATATTATCCATAAATGTTGCCACTTTTTACATTGAAAACAAAACAAACCAAAAAACCAGTTTATATAAGTTATTAATATCAGAAAAAACCCTAAAGTTTGGACACTGCCGATTCCTTGAAGATCAAGAAGTTATTCTTGTGTGTCATATCTTCCTGTCTATAGTTTTCAGTTTTTCTTTGCATGGCAAATAGTTTTTCAAAAATGTTGCCTAAAGTCATGAAAGAAAGAGAGATGTGTGAAATGTACAGTCTGATTCAATTCAATACAGAAGATAGGAAATCCTATGGCAACCCCCTCTTTGAGAAACCAGGCAGGATAAAGATGTGCTCCACTACCCAACTGAAGTTCCAAAACTTTCATGTAAATGTCAATGAAACTGTAGTTTCTGAGGCATGTTCAAGAACTGGGCTTACGTGCTCTTCCTACACCTCCAGCCATACCACCATCATCATTCTGACAGGGCTGTTTCCTGTCTTTGTTAATAAAGTACTATGCAAGAACCAATCTCGTGAAGAATTATATTTGGATGAGTCACACTGGAAACTAGAACTAATCAAGCACACCTATTTACGTCTCTCCCAGGATAACCGATTCAATATTCATAAAATTTCTTGAAATGTTTAGAGAAGATTAACTAAATTGAAATTAGGTTAATACCTTGTTTCCTAGGAGGTCCATGGGGCTTGTCACTATCGGACTGTCTTCGGGCTGTTTTTTGTTGGAACACTGTTAACAAAACAAAACAAAACAAAACAGAACCAATTATTTAATGAAGGTAAACATCCATAAAAAATATGGTGGAAATCTTCAGGGAGACTATAGTGCAATACATGATTTAGCTTAATAACAGTCCTTGAGTGGTATTATTTTTGAGTAGGAAGATTATTACATTTATAATTTTCTCATTTGTGCTGCTTATCAGTCATTTCAAAAAGCATTTTATTAACATGGAGAAGTATAATTCTGATTGAACACTTCATTAAATTACTTAAATAAAGATATGATTTAATCTTGGTATCCAGTAAAGATAAAAACTGCATTTTGTTAAGAGTGATAAATGTTTAAATCACATGAAAAATTCCACTTGCACAGAAAGTATTCATGTTAGACTTTTGGTGAGAAGCAAGAAAAATGACTGTTTCTTATTAAATAGATAAAAAGCTTGTTGTATTTCACAGATATAATAATCTAAACTGCACTTCATCTTTGCATCATCTAGCTATGTTTCCAACTTATTAAAGTAGCTTATACAAATTACTTCCCTATCTGCAAAGTTATTTGTTCTCATTATTTGTCACACGAAGCATTGTGAAGAGTCAGCATTACTCACCCCATGATGCAGATGAAATATAAAATTGATTGTTTAATATTTATCAAGTATCCACGAAGTTCCATACATATAGCTTCTGAAATTTGTTAAAAAAAAACTTTCTAACTTTACTTTGGAAATGAAAATCCAAGAGTTACGTTATTTTTTTGAATATGAACACTGGGATGTGGGAACTGAAAGTGGCATGAGAGATTTAGTCCGACCTCATGTGTTTATAGATGATAGGGATAACTAAAAATGGAAAGGGCTAAACAATTTTGCAATGATCCCAGAGTTCTCAATATTAGAGATGTAATTTAGACACTCAAGCCCTGAACTTTGCTCTAGTGCTCTGTTCTTCTTAGCATTGCCACCTCTTCCTTTCCACGAGCACTCCCTCTGTATGAAGGAAGGAGGAAACAGAGGTAGAGGATGAAAGCAAGTGCCAGAGCATTTCCAATGTGGGATGTCTCTTGTCCCTCTTACCAACTCATTCAGGATTTTCTGGACGATCTGGATGATGGTGAGCACCCAAATTTGGAGAAAAATCTTGTTACTTTGGGTCACTGAGATTTAAGGTTCTTTAAATCAATGTAAGCCTACACCACAGGGGTCTGGAATAACCAGATTCTGTTCCCAATCTGAGTGCTCAAAGTCATCCAAATGGTACCTTCTTGGTGTAGTGGTTACACGTTGGGCTGCGAACCACAGGTCATTATTCCAAACCACCAGTAACTTCACAGGAAAAGATGAGGCTGTCTACTCCTGTGAAGACTTTCAGTCTGGAAAACCCACAGGACCAGTTCTACACTGTCCTATAAGGTTATGGGTTGGAATCTACTTAATGACAGTGAGTTTGGTTATTTTTGGAAACCAATATAATATCAGGATTTATAAAAGACAAAACAAAACAAAAACCCATTGTCATCAAGCCCAATTCAACTCATAGGTGGGTGTAACGGTTAAATCACTTAGCTGCTAACCCAAAGGTCAGCAGTTGCAATTTCCCAGGCACTCCATGGGAGGGAAATACGGCTGTCTACTTCGCTCAAGAGTATAAATGTGGAAACCCCATGGAACAGTTCTTTCAAGGTATCTGTGAGTAATTCAGAATGCAACTTTTGAATAAGAAGAAAAGTGTCTCGACTCCTGTCACATCAGTGATGACTTATTAAGCGGTTACCATTCTCAGAGGCTTTCATCTGTTTTTGACAGGAGACACATGTGAGTTTTACACGGGTGATATCTTAAGAGAAAGTAAACACGTGGAAGAACATCTGTAGTTGAGATGACGGTTTCTGCTTAAGTGAATGTTTGGGAAGCATTCCAAATGTATTTTACTGGAAAGTTCTGAGTTTGTGGCTTACATTTGTCCCAAAATAAAATATATGGTGTGGTGATATATTTTGGGATATTGGAAAAACTTTTACAAGTGGTGCTTGATTTTTACCTCCATTGCATAGTCCTAAAAGTCTTTAAAAAATGAAATAGTATTTAAATTTTAGTAACATGTGGACTGTTCATGCATTTAACCTAATTCAATTAAGATAAAAGCTGAGAATGACTTAGACTAAACCATCATAGTCTGGCAGCATTAATATGGAAAATAGCCTGAATCCAAAAATTTATTCAGACAATTTTTAAAGATATGCTTTTAAAGAATTCTAATGTTTTGAAGCTACAGAGCATTCATAAATAAAACTTTCCCCCCAAAATCTTTGTAATTAATTTGCTATAAATCACTTTACACCTTATTTTTACTTAAATACTTAAAAAAACCAACTCTCTGATGACATCAAATGTCCTGTGCATGTGTGAAATAGAGGAAATGTTAAATAAATACTTTTAGTTCTTAGATTGAGAAAGAAATTATAAGTCATATAGTCATTAAGCTTTCGCTGGGGCTCCAGTCTACTTGTAACACAGGTGTGTGGTGATGAGTCAGACTATTTTCTACAGCACTGGCTATACATTAAAATGGCCTGGCATAGAAATAGAGTGTTGGATGGGAGAGTAGGATGCTCTGAGTGGGATGATGATGAAGGTGTTTACTATAGTATTTTTCTCTGTTCCACCCCCCCCAACCCTAATCCTATATAGTATTTTTAAGAAGCAGAATGTGCAGAAAACCATGCATATAGGCCAAAGTTCCATCCTACCTCCTTTTGGAATTCTACCTATTTTGTCTCCAGCTGCACCCATTACAACTATTTCCCCTTGCCACTTCTATATTATATGCAGAAGAATGTGGCGTCAGTATTGGAGGATGGCTTATTTATTATCTGTGATGTGCAGAAGACACAACCTTGCTTCCTGAAAGTGAGGAGGACTTGAAGCACTTGCTGAGGAAGACCAAGGACTGCAGCCTGCAGGATGGATTGCTGAATGAAACTCAATGTCAAGAAGACCCAGATCCTCACAACTGGACCAACAGGTAACATCATGATAAATTGAGAAAAGGTTGAAATTGCCAAGGATTTTGTCTTGCTCGGATCCATAATCAATGCTCATGGAAGCAGCAATCAAGAGGGCAAAAGGACAAACATGTCTTAGAAAATGTACAATCAGAATACTCCTGACGGCAGTGGTTCTCAACCTTCCTAATGCCGTGTTCCATTCATACAGTTCCTCATGTCGTGGTGACCCCCCAACCATAAAATTATTTTCATTGCTACTTTATAGCTGTATTTTTTCTACGTATGAATCTGGCGACCCCTGTGAAAGGGTCGTTTGACCCCCAAAGGGGTTGTGACTCAGCGGTTGAGAGCCACTGCTAGAGGAATAGATGGCTAGACGTTGTGTCACATACTTTAGACATTCTGTCAGGGGAGCCATGCTTGGTAAAGTAGAGGGGCATCAAAACAGAGAAAAGCCCTCAAGCAGATGGATTGGTACAGCGGCTGCACCCATGGGCTGAAGGTAAGAAGCCCTGTGAGGGTGGTGCCCGTCCAGGCAGCCTGTACTGCTGCTGTGTGCATAGGGTCTTTGTGAGCTGGAAGTGACTGAATGGAACCTCACTCCACTTTCAGACAAGCCAGACTTCATAAAAATACCCAATTAATGATTAGCTTATTGACAAATACCTATTTTCTCATCATGATCAAAGTTGAGGTGATTTTTAACGTAAGATAATCCTGGGACAAGACCGATTTGAAATTATTTCTTGAAGAAAGAACCAACTCATCAATGCTAACCCATGTATAGTCTATCATGGAAACACACTTCAGAAACTAACAGCTAGCTATAACAGCAACTCGTTAATCTTTCTTTTTCTAATAGTTAATTTTGCCAGGAAAATTTCAAATTGTTTCCACCAGTTAAAACTTTATTTGGAAGAGTTTCCAATTCTTTATATTTATCATGTTTATCAATTCAATGTATATAAAAAGGTAAAGAGTGGTACATATAAAACTCATGCTTGTATCGTGAGAACTGAGCCTTGGGTTATGAGTTGGTGTGATTTATATACAAGGCAAATTTTTATACTGTTTAAGATTTGTGGTGAATTAAATGACAGGTGGTTTTAAATAGATTTAATTTCATGGAAAAAACTAGACCAGAATGCTAGCAGAATGAAGGCATAGCTCTTTCTCTCTTTAAGAACGTGTATGACATGGTTTTCTTCAGAGTCTCTGTTTGCTTATCCACAAAGTTAGGACTCAGCTTGAGTAATCTAAGGTCTCCTTCAGCTATCAAATTCTAAGATAGCTATCAATTCTTACATCCCAAATCAGTTCAGGCCCAGTTGGATTGAATTTCATTAAACTTTGAAGTGAATGTGTATTCAAATAAAATGCTATGTTTTTAGGATGGGACTATTTTCGGTTTGCAGGTTAAACTAAGGGGGAAAAGCAGATTGCATTGCAGGACAGTATTATTTTTGTTTTCATAATATATTGAGACAATCTAGACCAGCGGTTCTCAACCTGTGGGTCGCGACCCCTTTGGGGTTCAAACAACTCTTTCACAGGGGTTGTCCAACTAATAACAGTAGCAAATGTACAGTTATGAAGTAGCAACAAAAATAATTTTATGACTGGGGTCTCCACAACATAAGGCACTGTATTAAAGGGTTGAGGCATTAGGAAGGTTGACAAACACTGCTCTAGTCTTTATGGGTACAAATCTTGGAGGATATTATTTATACATTTTTATGAAACCAACACCTTCTAAAAGTTATCTAGAGAATTATGATAATTAATAATATGACAATGTCAACTTTGATAACTGCGCCTTCGGGAAGAATTAATTTTTCTCTTCTTTCCTAAAATTAGAATTTGATAAGATCGAATGATGAAAAAATTATTAGTAGTTGTCAGTGCCTTTAAATAGAAAAGGTCTTCAAAAAAGGGATAGGAAAACCCACCAAAATTGATGTACAAAATAATATTAAATAAATCAAATGTCTTAAATACCA